CGTGATGTCTATCACGGGGAGCAGTAGTCTTGATTGGGGGGGGGGGGGGGGGAGAGAGGAAGGGAGGGTGGCCGCCTGACAATTGAACACCGTTCACGCGTCCGGGAGTTGTCCGTGCGCATCGCAACAACGGCGCGCATCCGCGGTCCCCTCGGGAAGCGGTGGCGGCGCGGTCCATGTGAACGAGGCCAGCGAGCGTGCTTCTCACGGCAGCCTCCGCGCTCACTCAGCACTCGCGTTGCCGAAGCGGGTGGCGTCACTCACTTTACCAGAGCCGGGAGCGAGGGTGCGGGGGGGGGGAGTGGGGGGGGTCTTTTTCCTTTTAATTCACAGCCTTCTATCGATCCACCGCTGAAGACGATACAATATCACTCGCCAATGAACGTAACTGTGACCGGGAATCGAACCCGGGTTGGTCAGGTTCATAACGCGGTGCGCTAACCACTGCCACACCGCTTCCACGCCGGCCCCCGCGATGTTAATTCCATTCTGCGTCGTCGCATGTGCAGTTGAGGCCTTTAAATGTTATTTTCTTCTCAAGGTTAAAGTTAACATATAAATGACATTTGTGAATTACATATATCAAAATCGTATTTAACAACGCACGCCGATGGCATGCGTTGTCAAATGTCCAATGCCAAGCCTGGCAATAATAACGACGTGAACCCGGCTGTGATATGTCGAAACTTCAGGTTGACTTATTACAAGCAACCGCCTTATAGGTCAACATAGCCTCAAATGACTCGTCACAGTTTATGACACGGGGACATTTACGATCCACCACGTGGAATTGCGTACAAAATAAAAACCCAACACATGCGCTCTTCCAACACCATCCTGCCGGTACCGTAGCTGCCAAGTGCACAGGCGGTGCAACTGCGCCAGGACCCACCCGTGCAGAACACGTGGCTAGTTGCGTTTTTGTTTTGTTAATTCACACATCTGACGTGTCGGTATACCTGCAGCACGTTACACCAATAAACGTGACAGGTCGCGCGCGTCTTTATTATTTACGGAGCTAATTGTTGCGATTGCATCGGGTTGGTTGAGCACGCGCGGTTGGAGTCTTTAGCGGAGCAATATGTTGACATCACCAACAGCGGTAGGAAGGGCAAAGAGGAGGGAACCCAAGGTCTCGTTGCACGTCCCAACAATAACCCTTCAACCCACGTTCCCACTCGGGAGCGTTCGCTCGTCCGTTAAACGAATTTCAATCCGCTGGTCAACCACAGGGCCCCTCTCGCCGATTCGGTTTCCTCTCTCTTTTCTTTCGTACTGCTGCTGATGTCGGCGTAGAGCAAACAACTCAGACGTCAACGTTAAGGTGGCGAAGCACAGACAACCGCGTCAGAAGCTGGCGGAGTAGTGCATCATCGTCGTCGTCGCTGTGATGTCTCCTTCGTATTCGTGGATCGGTGCATCGCGTCGCTCTACGTTGTGTACGGTCTGTTCTGCATGACCGCAGTCGCACACTGCTGGAGAGTTTTTGTGTATTTATTTTCTATTTGCACATCGAGTATCCGCATCTGCTGCCATGGTTTGTGCGGTGGATACGGTTTAGGGTGGACCGTGAGCTTCGTGGAAGATCAAACCCCAGGGGATCTTCCGCGCTGGGTCTTTCACAACAAGGCGTTTGTTTTTTTTTGCGAGTTCTTTAGAACTCCGTTCAGCTCTCCAAGCCTCACCGGGCTTGAAGGTTAAGCGCGTGGCTCCAAAAGGGATTGGCGGCGTTGACTTCGATCATCGTTATTGAAGCTCCCGGTGAAGGGGAAGGAGACCGCTCTCCTCGATCCGTGTCGAGTTCCCGTCGGGTCGCAGCGTTGCGGCGGCTGGGCGGGGTGGAGAGAGATGTGTGACAGCCTGGGCGTTACATCTCGGTGGCTGCCCTCGCTGAACCGAATCAGGGCTGACAACCGCTCTGCACGCAGCCACAGTGGATGCTCGACGCGCCGGCCGGCTATTAAGCTATCGCGCCAAGAGCGGCGAACTGTCGTTAATTGACGGCGACGATCGCCTCTCGGCGTCCTTCACAAAGCGTGCAGGCGCATCGTGGGAGATGGAGACGGCTTCGGGGATAGTGGCGGGGGTGGCGGGGAGGTCTTCATCCAGCAGTGGATTGGCCATGACTGATGATGATGACGAACGTATGGGAGGAGGGCAACGTCGAGCCAACGTTGGTATTGGAACCGTTTACATCACCACCTTGAACCCCCAGTAGAGACCCTCATAGAGCCCACACAGGCTGAGAGCGAGTGCTGCTAGCGAGCACCTATGAGGCTGGTACGGGCTGCTGGGGTGTGGGTGGACAGCACGACGCACAACCGCCTTTATCTCTCCAGTGGTATTGCCGTGGCGAGATGTTAACTACCTTGCTTGGTATGCAGAAGAGCGTGGGTTCGATCCCGACCCTGACGCCTGTAATTTGGAGTTTGAGTGTCTTTCTCCCCGTGGTCACGTGGATTTTTCTCTGGGATCCTCCATTTTTTCTCCACATTTATAATCAACATCACGCGTTTAGAATATTTGGCTGCTAAAAATGTTCACATGATAAGCCACTTTGTTGAGCTATCAATTGTGGCCAGATCACTTCTGAAAAATAGATATATAGCTCAGTGGGCCTTATCTAGTAAAATCGAGTTTAAATCGTTTTGACAAACACTTTCGAACCAAACCAGATACTCATTTAAGGATGTGTCTACTTAGGCGGAGGCCCAGGACCGCTTCAAAACATTCGCCACTGTTATTGATCGCGAGCGGAAATAAAACTCGCCTCGCCCGGTTCTTAGCGCAGTACGCTAACCACTGCGCCACCGCTCCCCCCCCACACTCAACACGCGCCCAATCAGCGTCTCGTGACTGGACGACCGCACGCGGTCGCGTGACCCGAGTGCGTCATAAACGGCCATGAACGCGTCACTCCGCGTGGTCTATATTCGGTGGAGGAGGAGGAGGATGGGGGTGTCGCCTCCACGCACTGCGACCTCTGTTTACGCGACTCCGGGGAAATCAGTTGAGGACGCGATCGGTGCAGGCGCGTCATATCGCCATCCGGCGTGGCGGTGTCCACGTCTCGACACCAAACCCTTCCCCACGTGGCTTGGGGAAGGGTGCGAGGGGATACAGTGCTGCACAATTGCCTGCCAATGCAGCTGTGGAGGAGGAGGAGGAGGTTGTCACTGGGGGAGTTCTTTTACCCAACACATCTGGTAATCTGGGAGGAAATTATATCACCTAGAAAAACAAAAATGTCTCTCCAGATGGAAACATCTCGTTTCGTTTCAGCTTTTATTTACTCGCGTTCCCAACGCATGGTACATAACAACAATAAACACGCTGACTGGCATGCATAGGTCGTACGAGCACTTAATAACAGAGCTCATTGTTGCGAAAAATGTTTTATAAACACGCGACACAGGTGGGGGGGGGGGGGGGGTGTAAGAAGGAGTGGGGTGGGTAACATATGGGAGGGTAAGGCGCTGTGCATGTCGACTGGCGTGGTGGAGGACATTTCTTTTCAGAGGGTGTCCTGTCCTGTGTAACAAGCCTGACACCGCTGATGACACCCAGACGGTCGTACTCGCCCCAGAGTTCGCTCGCTTTTAAACAAATGCCGCCGGGTAATGTTGCTCTGAGAAACCAATAGGCCGATAGACGGGACATTTTTTTACTTAATTGTTGTACCGTATGTCATAGATGGGGTGCTATGGCCAGGATCATCTGGTAGCACAGAAGCATTCTTTTTTTTAAATCAAATATTTCACCTGAAAAATATTTAAAGGAACTTCCCGTTTGTCTCCCCACTGCTGACAGCTAATTTGGAATAGTGGTGAATTATTAATCGCGGTGCACTATTAACCCGCCCACTTGAGTTTCATTCCCTGCAACGACAAACATCAGTGGCGAGTGACATCAGAACCAGTCTTGGGTCCCGCCCCACATGTTCTTCTGTGACGAGCATGGTGAAGTATGGTCAAATAACCCCCGTGACGGGCACAGTAGTGGCTGCATGAAGCGCTGTACACTTTTACATCGATATCGTTTGAATATTTCAATACAAACTTCGCCACCGATGGAAGCGCGCAGTTCACGATTATTAACAGCAGAGGGCGAAAAATCTACGTGTGCAAAGATGCTGTATAAAGCGTCACGCATTCACGCACCCTCCCATACCTGTCAACCCCTTATCAGTGCCTATCTTATTACAGGCCAATTCAGACCTTATTATTAAATCTGTACGTTCATCCTACAAAGTCCCATCACAAGGGAGAAACACACAAAAATAGACTAAACAAATGTTGCCCGTATTGAAACGGCTGTACGCCGTTTGAACCTCAAAACACAATTTCCCTTTGCAAGTATACAGGGTAAACCGTATGGGTTGACAGCTGTGCCCTCCGTTCAGCCACTGTGACCACATCCTATGCAATAGCGCAATCGTTTGTTTGGCATTCCAACATATTATTCTGCAAGCTGAATAAGTACGGGGTAACAATGAGGGATTCGTTTTACACGCTAAAGTGACCAAAGATCAACTGGCTAAGTGCGTTTTGAGCGTGATGAGGTGTTGTGGCATCACTCAGCTTGTTGGACAGTAAGATGAAAGTTACTTAATTTAAACGCTTGCTCCGACTACAACTTTCATTCTCCCATCATTGACCTCGTCACTGAGAGCGTCATCTCGACCTTGAGTTTAAGTCACGGCCTTGTGCACAAGACCGATGTTCTGAATCATCAACATAATTTATTTAGTATTGTTCCCTATTGCGTATGTATTTGGGAATCTCAAGCGTGCATGAGTGCCGGATTAAGCTAGTGCGGGGCCTGTAGCATATGTTATTAAGGGACCCTATATATAAATAAAAAAAACACAAATGTTTTACTTGCATAGTAGAGTAATTGTATTTTTTCATTTGCTATACAGGCAGATAATACGACAAATCGCTAACCTTAAACACCCAGTCGTTCATAAAAGTTGAAGGCGGTATACTACTATAGTAATAGAGCAAGTGCAGAATCACTGACCCGGAATTGATAGCTTGAAAGCATTTAGCGCGGGGCCCTTGAAAGTGCGGGGCCCGTAGCTACATTTGCTACTCGGATAATCCGACACTTGCGTGCATGCCTCCAGCAGATGCCTCTGCGTAACCCACTCAAGCTGCTATCTTTGGACCAGTCCTGTCGTGTGTTCAATCATTGCATCAAACCGTATCAATGTGGAAACGTTGTGAACCAATTTCAGACTAATTCAACCAACTGAGAGCATAAGGAGATACTCATCTCCGTCGCAATTTAACTCTACACTACATGTATGTGTATGGACAAGTAAACAGGATGAAAATGCTATCCGGTACTTAATTTCCCATACCTGCAAACCCTGAGACCCTGCAATATATTTTTTGCTGTACATTATTGTAGCGCTAGATTGTGTAAAGGGATGTGTCGCTTCTGATGATTTCCTCTTCTGCGCTAGCCTCTCTGTGTTCAGCTGGAACCAGTGGTGAAAATGGGTCTGGAACGCCTCGGAACGCCGTGGTGGGAGTGAAAATCTGAACCAGACTACCTTCCGGAAGTAATCAAGCATTCATCTTTTTAAAATGTATTTGACTCAAAGATAGACCACAAGACTAACAGAGAAGTCCACAGACACGCACGGAAACCCACACACACAGAAACCCACACACTAGTAGGGAGTGGGGTGGAATCATGTATAAGCTTCCCCAGTAATTTCTTCCTATTTCAAGTCCAGGCTGAACCCCAGAATGAGCGCCGCAATCCGCGAAGCGCTCTCGAGCCTCCGCGTGGATGCGCGCTGCTCCAGTGCCCCCGGGGGCTTTCGCGTGGCACCAGCAGATCCGCACCCGGTTCCGACAATCGACGCATTCCGTCCTTCCCCCGCACCTCCGATTAGCGCGGTGGGGAATGTGCGGCGCGAAAGAGGCTCACCGTACGGTACATATGTGCGTCTTCTTCTAGCCCAAATCTTACTGAGCAGGAATCCAGTCCGGTGGCACTCCAGCTGCCCACTTGCCCGGGTATCGCACGCTTCCAGCCTCGGGGACGCCACGGTGTCGAGATGTTAACTACTTCACCTGGTATACAGGACGTCGTGGGTTCGATTGTTCTCCGGGTCCTCCGGTCATTCTCTCCACATTTAGAATCACCATGCTTTTAGAGAATTTGGCTGCTATACATTTCCACGTGATAAGCCACTTCGTTGAGCTATCATTTGTGGCCAGGTTGCTTCTGAAAGAGCTACATAGCTCAGTGGGCCTCACCTGGTGAAATAAAAATAGCAGCTGTAGCAGTTCATATCCCTTTTCCTGCTGCCGAAGACGAGCAAAGTCACATTCGTGCCTCCCGACTCTCGTCGCATCTTGGGTCTGCCTATGAGCAGCGACTCCAGCTCATCAGACTCCATCATGGGGCAGTAGATGGCAGCACAGGACAGGGTTTGGTTCACGTAGACTGGACGGACCGAATTTTCAGATCGAATCCATCTGTGTGGAGTTTGTTGCGTCATCTCGACACATCCGTGGGTTTTCTCCGGGTTCGCTCTCCGGCCACCTGCCAGGTAAAACCAAACGATCGTGAATGAAATTGATCCAAAAACTTCCCAATGCAGCAGTTCCCTCCCGAGAAAGAGTCTCGAGACTCGGGTCAGTAGGGAGTATTCGAGTTGTTGTTGTTGTTGTCCTCAATGAGAGCCGGCCTGATTGGTGGATCACACCGAGATGGCGTGGGGATATTGAACGCCAACAATGACGCAGTGAATTGATTGGCACGCGCACGCATGAAACAGTACAGCAAATAGATTGGTATTCGCCTCTACATGTGTATGTTGAACTTCTTTCGCATCGTGCGTAGCCAACCGCGCTAATGGGAGGTGCGGGGGAAGGACAACAAACAAAACAACAAAAAGCAGTTCTAAATAAATTAGTTTTCAATCTGGATAAAATAAATGCATTCCTAATATCGGAAGGAAGAGCGTTCCAGACGGCCGCAGAAGTACATCTGAAAGCTCGCGATGCAGTCATCGTCTTTATTTGATGGCTCATTGATGATGGTATGTCATAGGCAAGAAATCTAAAAAAAAATGTTACCAGGTAAGGCCCACTGAGCTACATAAATTATTTTTCAGAAGCGACTTGGCTACAGATAATAGCTCAACGAAGCGGCTTCTCCAGTGGAAATTCATAGCAGCCAAATACTCCAAACACGTGACGTTGATTCTAAATGTAGAGGGAAACCCCGGAGGACCCACGGGGAAAGAGAGAGAGACACGCAAACTCCCATTCGCCTACTTCAGCCCGCGACAAAACTGGTACCCGGGCATGGACAGAGTTCACCATCCGACTGCGGGGCGCGCCTTCGCCGTGGTTCCTCGTGCATTCGACACAGATCGTCCATAAGAGGTTTTTTTGGTGTTAGATCGCGTAAATATATATAAATGTGTCGTTAAAACCCGCCACCACCCGACACAGCCAATTAGTAAAGGGTTGTCACGTAAACAGAACGTGCCAATTCGTCACTAGTACAGCACACCGGTGTGTTGGAGAGCCAAGCCACAACATTTGGCATGTTCTGTTTACGTGACAACCCTTACTAGTTGGCTGTGTCGGGTGGTGGCGGCTTTCAACGACACATCTATATATTTACGCGATCTTACCCAAACTCCCCCCCCCCCCCCCCTCTATTATGGATGATATTGATCGCGAAAGCCTCCTACGTGTTAAACGACACAGATCGCTTGGTAAACACGGGAGATAGGTTGTTTTTGTTTTTTAAATACTTGCGGTTATTTAACGGCCTAATGGCTCTACAACGACTCGAGATTAAAACGTTTGGCATTTTCCACGGTGCGAAACGAAGTCCGCTACGCCCGTGGCTAATTTGAGCGAGAATCGGAATGAGGCTCGTGGGGATGGGTTGCATGCGCCGTGCTGTTGTGTTAACCCTTCCTCTCCCCCCCGAACACGGGGCCCCGTGTGGCGTCACTCTGCACTTTCAATTCACGGGGCGCCGATTCGATCTCCAGGTGCGACAATTGACACGATCGATCGGTTTCCTAACGCCTTTGCTCCACCCACACCCGCCACCGCCTCTCTCCACCCCCCAGCGGCACCGCGTAAATTTGTTCACGACAGTTCGTCCGTTCGGCAAGTCGTGTGTCGTGAGATAAAGCGTGGGTACTCACATCTTGTCGAACGTGGAAGAAGGGTCGGTGAAATACCCTCGCTCCAGCGAGGGCCGTCTCTCTAAAACTCCCTCTACTGGAGTTCCTTCCGCCAGCAGTGGCGTGAGCAAGCATTTGCAGGATTGCACCCCCACCTCTGCTGCCCATTCGACTCGACAATCGTTTCAAAATGTATGCGCATCGACTCGCTAATTAAAAAAAAACGTGCGTGGTTGTGATGGAGGCGCAATGAGCGATAATTGTCTGTTCTTATCAGGTGCGAACATCCTCCACCAGCCCCGATAGCCCTCCTCTCCCCCCCTCCTCACCCCCTCCTTCTGAACGGCACTCATCAGGAGCGGTTAGCACGTGTTGTTGTTGTTGTTTTGCTGCGGCTGTGCCTCTGTAGATGTCCACTGTGTCGTCGGATTGTACTGCGTATGGTCCGGGATGCTGTCCGCCGTTTCACGCCACGCGCTGGGAACCTCTGCAGGAGCCGACTGGAGCAGCGTGCTTTCCCGAGCCGCTCGAGAAGCCCTTCCCAGCAGGCTGAGCGAAACGTCGGACAATTTGCCGAACAACACGCGGCACAAGCGGGACACATGGGAGAGCGTCGAGGGAGGTCTTGTCCACACGGAGCCCTGAGACACCACGGGACAGCAGAAGGCAATGAGGATGACACCGTCCTGATCATTCCTAAAAATAATGCAACTAACGTGGCCACCGCTTTGAATTGTGGTGGTCTAAACCAAGGTTGGTGTGCCTTAATAATAATACTTTCGCCTAATTCACGCCAACAGAATTCCACAACGCGTTGTGCACGGAGTATGATGATGTCACCGACATCACTCGGAATGGGCCCGATCTCGTGAGATCTAGTAAGCTAAGCGAGGTTTTAGCTTGGTTGTTGATTTTGATTGGTTACAACCTTGCACAAAAAATATAGACTTAATGGGCGTTACGAGCTGCAGGATCGGCCAGTGCAGCAAACTCCATTGTTGTACCGCACCAACCTTCATCAACCTAAAGTAATCATCGTGTGTGTGTGTTATTGTTTGCCAGTGTAAACAATGATCATATTCGTGGCAACGTGGCAGATGCTGAGATTTCCCCCACGTACACGACCGGCTCACACCACGCTACGGTCATAGGAGCTTATTTACTTGCTTTTAAAATCAATTTTAATAAAATAACAATTCTTCAGAGGAAATAAAAATAATGCAAGTCCTTCCACACGTTCTCTCGAATGCTGTATAGATATCCATGTATTGTTTATACGTAGCCCTGAAGCCGATAACACCATGGAGGTAGTGTTGTACTTCTATTGTTGTAAGTCACTGTAATTTTGTACGTACTTATTTTTATTTTACTTTACCAGGTAATACCGCACGCCTTTAGAATATTTAGATTGTTTGGCAGCTCTACATTTCCACGTGATAAGCCACTTCGTCGAGTTATCATTTGTGGCCAGATCGCTTCTGAAAAATAATCTAATAGCGCAGTGGACATTACCTGGTAAGATAAATAAATTTAGTTAATGTGTCTTATTTTAGTTATTTGTTTACCGTTCCTATCCTTCGCACTCCTATCGTGTGTGTTGTACTGTTTGTTGTACTGTTTGTTGTTGTAACGTTCCGAACCGCCCCGACTGGACATCTGTGAAAAAGAGCTTTATAGTTCATCGGATTCCCGCTGCAGTACAACGAAAGATTCTGATTCTTTAAAGAGTTACGAGATTCGGCGAGGCCTTCCTATGAAACCGTGCGGAACAAAAACAAACATTTACACACAGAAGATGACTTATTGATTCCGGTATGTACAAATATGTCCAATTATTTATATATTTCCTGTAACCATGTACGCAGTTCTAATCACGCCAGGTCTCTTGTACCCAAGGTTGCATCCTAGGGTTGGTATCATGTTTGTAGTTGTAGCTTTCGGTGTGTGAATGCAGCTGTAATACCTAGGTCCGCACGCTACCAGCACGCTCCATTGGAGCGCGGTCGAGACAGCGGTCTCCATTCGTCCTACGCCAGGATGATAAATCAGCCGGCGTTCAACGTTGGTGGCCCAGGTTTGTGGAGCCAGTGGGGAGCGACGCCCTCTGTGAATGTTCTGAGATGCCGCCAGCGAAGTTGAGAGAAGCGGTCATCGGTGGACGATGCAGCTCGGCAGTGACAGTCACAGGTGGCTTGCGGGCTGACGTTCGCCGCCGCTAAATAGGTAGCGGCCGCACGCTACCTACAATGTTTGTATTTGGTGAAACGCGGACCAACGTCTTCCTTGTTAGGTTAATTTCTTGATGGGGGGGGGGGGGGGGGGCGGGGTGGTTATGTGATGGAATTGGTGATGGGTCTTGTTTGGGACATTGGAAATTGTCCCACGGTGCTCTCGGTTTGCGACTCGATGTCGAGTGAGGACGACTCGATGTCGAGTGAGGACGACTCGATGTCGAGTGACGTTGAGAGCTATCGCCCGGTCCCGGAAGGGTTTGCCAGCTGCGGTGGCTGTGACTGCGGATGGGAATCGACGTGGAGCGAGAGGAAAGGAGGGGACGGGGGGGAGTGGTGTTGGCTGGTTGTAATGGGCCCTGGTGCAAGGAACCACATGTCGGGCCAAGGAAGGACCGTGCCATTGTGACGTGACGTAAATACAAGCAAATACTGGACAGTATTACACATGTTGACAGCAACATGAAAGCCTCATCATGGCAACCAACACTGAAGTAGAAGCTGTTAAATTGGAGGATGGTGTCCCGATTAAATAAACAATATCAACAACATGACCAAGGTCAAAACGTAGCGCTGTGGTTCACGCTTGGGATTTTAAGTGTATGTTGAACTTCTTTCGCACCGTACCTATCCAACCATGCTAATCGGAGGTGCGGCACACGAGCGCAGATTGCTATTGGGGATGTCGTGGCACATGTCAGGGTGAACAACTCTGGGCTTTCGGAATAGAATGTGGCAAAAAAGCGTCGATATAGCCCCGCACCTCCGATTAGTACGGTTCGCTACGTACGGTGCAAACGAAGTTAAACACAGAGAGGTGAGACAGAGAAGGGGGACACGTGTGTAGCAGGGTGGGACACGTGTGTAGCAGGGTGGGACACGTGTGTAGCAGGGTGGGACACGTGTGTAGCAGAGGGACACGTGTGTAGCAGGGTGGGACACGTGTGTAGCGGGGTGGGACACGTGTGTAGCAGGGTGGGACACGTGTGTAGCAGAGGGACACGTGTGTAGCAGGGTGGGACACGTGTGTAGCAGGGTGGGACACGTGTGTAGCAGGGTGGGACACGTGTGTAGCAGGGTGGGACACGTGTGTGACTAGGTGGGACACGTGTGTAGCAGGGTGGGACACGTGTGTAGCGGGGTGGGACACGTGTGTAGCAGGGTGGGACACGTGTGTAGCAGGGTGGGACACGTGTGTAGCAGGGTGGGACACGTGTGTAGCAGAGGGACACGTGTGTAGCAGGGTGGGACACGTGTGTAGCAGGGTGGGACACGTGTGTCACTAGGTGGGACACGTGTGTAGCGGGGTGGGACACGTGTGTAGCAGGGTGGGACACGTGTGTAGCAGGGTGGGACACGTGTGTAGCAGAGGGACACGTGTGTAGCAGGGTGGGACACGTGTGTAGCAGAGGGACACGTGTGTAGCAGGGTAGGACACGTGTGTCACTAGGTGGGACACGTGTGTAGCGGGGTGGGACACGTGTGTAGCAGGGTGGGACACGTGTGTAGCGGGGTGGGACACGTGTGTAGCAGGGTGGGACACGTGTGTAGCAGGGTGGGACACGTGTGTGACTAGGTGGGACACGTGTGTAGCAGGGTGGGACACGTGTGTGACTAGGTGGGACACGTGTGTAGCAGGGTGGGACACGTGTGTAGCAGGGTGGGACACGTGTGTGACTAGGTGGGACACGTGTGTAGCAGGGTGGGACACGTGTGTAGCAGGGTGGGACACGTGTGTCACTAGGTGGGACACGTGTGTAGCGGGGTGGGACACGTGTGTAGCGGGGTGGGACACGTGTGCAGCAGGGTGGGACACGTGTGTAGCAGGGTGGGACACGTGTGTAGCAGGGTGGGACACGTGTGTAGCAGAGGGACACGTGTGTAGCAGGGTGGGACACGTGTGTAGCAGGGTGGGACACGTGTGTAGCAGAGGGACACGTGTGTAGCAGGGTGGGACACGTGTGTAGCAGGGTGGGACACGTGTGTAGCAGAGGGACACGTGTGTAGCAGGGTGGGACACGTGTGTAGCAGGGTGGGACACGTGTGTAGCAGGGTGGGACACGTGTGTAGCGGGGTGGGACACGTGTGTAGCAGGGTGGGACACGTGTGTAGCAGGGTGGGACACGTGTGTAGCGGGGTGGGACACGTGTGTAGCAGGGTGGGACACGTGTGTGACTAGGTGGGACACGTGTGTAGCAGGGTGGGACACGTGTGTAGCAGGGTGGGACACGTGTGTCACTAGGTGGGACACGTGTGTAGCGGGGTGGGACACGTGTGTAGCGGGGTGGGACACGTGTGCAGCAGGGTGGGACACGTGTGTAGCAGGGTGGGACACGTGTGTAGCAGGGTGGGACACGTGTGTAGCAGAGGGACACGTGTGTAGCAGGGTGGGACACGTGTGTAGCAGGGTGGGACACGTGTGTAGCAGAGGGACACGTGTGTAGCAGGGTGGGACACGTGTGTAGCAGGGTGGGACACGTGTGTAGCAGAGGGACACGTGTGTAGCAGGGTGGGACACGTGTGTCACTAGGTGGGACACGTGTGTAGCAGGGTGGGACACGTGTGTAGCAGGGTGGGACACGTGTGTAGCAGGGTGGGACACGTGTGTAGCGGGGTGGGACACGTGTGTAGCAGGGTGGGACACGTGTGTAGCAGGGTGGGACACGTGTGTAGCGGGGTGGGACACGTGTGTAGCAGGGTGGGACACGTGTGTAGCGGGGTGGGACACGTGTGTAGCAGGGTGGGACACGTGTGTAGCAGGGTGGGACACGTGTGTAGCGGGGTGGGACACGTGTGTAGCAGGGTGGGACACGTGTGTAGCAGGGTGGGACACGTGTGTAGCGGGGTGGGACACGTGTGTAGCAGGGTGGGACACGTGTGTAGCGGGGTGGGACACGTGTGTAGCAGGGTGGAGCGAGGCAGGTTACCGACACGGGGCATTGGAGTGGCACCCAGAGGACGAGAAGGCCTGAAACGGCAGTCCCTTGCAGTACGTGTCAACAACAACAACAGTCCTTGCAGTACGTGTCAACAACAACAACAACAGTCCTTGCAGTACGTGTCAACAACACCAGTCCTTGCAGTACGTGTCAACAACAACAACAGTCCTTGCAGTACGTGTCAACAACAACAACAGTCCTTGCAGTACGTGTCAACAACAACAACAGTCCTTGCAGTACGTGTCAACAACAACAGTCCTTGCAGTATGTGTCAACAACAATCCTTGCAGTACGTGTCAACAGAGTAACCAGGTCAGCACCGAGTCAGATGGCGGTGGTGATGGTAGTAGTAGTAATAGTAGTAGTAATAATCACGCTATGGGAGCGGTCTTTGAAGGACGCGTTGCCTATGTAAAAGGCGACGCCTTAAGCCAGACGGCGATGATGATGGTGGTGAGACTATAGGTGGGGGGGGGGGTCCTCAGAGGACACGTGCACTGTGTAACGAGGGGAAGACGTCAGGTCAGGCGGTGTTGATGATGATGACGGCGACACAACTGTGAGAGCGCGCACCTGGGAGGTCGATTGTCAACTGAGCAAACGAGCCGAGAGATTTGGCAGGAGGAAGGAAGCGATGCGCGCGATAAATGAATCAACGACTTTGACCGCGATGTCTCCTTGACCTTGGGGAGGAAGGGGGTGGGGGTGCTGCCGCTGCAGAGCGCCCATCCAGCACTGTCTGCAGGCGCAGCTGAGGACAGGGTCGCACGTGCTGCAAGGTGGTGGTGGCGCGAGAGAGGAAAGTGGTAGGGGAGGGAGGGAGGGAATGGAGGGATGGAGGGGAGGGAGGGAAGGAAGGGAGGGAGGAGAGGGAGGAGGGGAGGGAGGGCGGGCGGGAGGAGGAGGAAGAGGGAAGGAGGGGAGGGAGGAGGGGAGGGAGGGATGGAAGGAGGAGATGTAGCAGGATAGGGAGGAGGAGGAGGAGGGTAGGAGGGGATGGAGGGAAGGATGAGATGGAGGAGGCGACGGGATGAGCCTGTCGATGAGATGCTCCCCAGGGTGTGTCCACGACTCTGCTTCACTGGGGGGCGGGGAACGACGCGCGCACTTGGCGCGCACGTGGAAGGTTTCACAAGCAGCGCGTCGGGATGAATAAGTAAAGCGGGGCTCACTCAAGTGCACACGGACAAAGATCCTCCTCCGTGTAGCCTCAACAGACATTCGGGGCAAGTGCTGTTAGCGAGGCACCTATGGAGGACGGTACGGTAAACGATGGGGGTTGGGTGGTCAGCACCACGCCCGGCCACTTTTGTCTCCCCAGTGGCAATGTTTCCAGAGCACACAAGACACTAAATTTAGGCTGAGTCGACCTAGGGGAGGCCTAGAACCGGTCCTAATAATCGTCACTGGTGTTGTCCGTGAGCGCGAATCGAACTCGGGTCGCCGGGTTCGTAGTGCAGCGTAGCGCTACGGTCACACGAGCAGTCAACAAACATCAACCGCTTCGCCACTAAGTGGCGGTGACGTCCCCACGGCGCTTGTGCCAGGCTAGGTGCACCACTTTAAGGCCCCGTGGAGTGTCGAACGCCCGCTGGAAGGAGGTCACGGGACAGACCTAGCACGTGCCATGGGTCGACTGACCTGAGATGACCGGTAGATGCACCACCTGTGGCCCCTACTGTGCCAACTTGCTGTGTTTTAGCCTCCCTGCACTCCGCGCGTTGTTGTGAGCGTCGCTCAAACACACGGTACACACGCCAACACGCATCATTCAACAAGTGATGCATGCTCCCCGCCACTGTCTGCACGATAGGCATTGCATTCAATTGTTAGCGTTGTTGCTTGGGCCATCATTCCCATGTGGAATAGTACAATGATAACAATTGCCATAATCGCATTGGTAAAATCCGGCGACCGCGAGACCATTTGGCAGTGTGATTGCTCTGTTTATTCTATCACCAAAGTAACTACTGCACAACGATGGAGAATGTTAACGCGTGAACAGACACGTTCACCCATCACATGCGGCACGAAAAGAGATGCGCTCCTCTTAACGTAAAAAATGACAGTGCCGGAATTTTTATTTTATTGCCACATTTTATATGTGCAAGTTATCATCGTATCCGAATGCATATGCAGCGATTA